ATAGACAGGTATCTTAATGACGAAATAAACTCGCATAGCGAACAATTGTGGGCTATCGATATTCGGTTTAAATATTTATCGAACTCAACTAAAATTATTATTTTCTTATTAACTAATTTAGAGGACACTTCTAGTATTGATTATAGTGTGAAGAATTTAGAAAGAAATCCAATTAGATTACGTACGGCTGTAGTAGTAATAAACATTTATTTACTCTCATTATCAATTTGAGAAAAAAGTGTTTTTTTTAAATTCACAAGTTATAACTATGAATCTATCGATTCCAACTTCTATAAGAATAAAAATCGAAAATTGACAAGATGCATGACTGATTTTACACAACCCATCCCTACTAAATTTCAAATGAATTGTCAAACTAATCTATCTTATTTAGACACACTATAGGATTCAAATAAATTTTACAATCAGAATATTGATTTTCATTTAAAAGGGGACAATAAAAGTTTTTATATATCCAGTTTACATCATAGTTATTTCTGTACTCTACCATAATCACCTTTCTTTATAAATTGACTAGATGTCGCCCGCGACTTCGTTCGCGTGGTATTGTAAAAACAAAAGTTAGTAGTCTATTGTTCTTCCAGACAGTCCTCTACATCTATGCCGAATTTTATAGATGTCCATTCAGCCATTTAGGCTAAAAACTCTAACAAACATCCATCCATCTAAAATTTAGCATTTATAATATTAGTATGATTCTCTTTTAAACAGTAAACTGTATGTTTTTCTACCCAACACTACCACTACCTCCAGACCGACAGTTTTATCACATATGTTCTAATATCTCTTGGCTTTAGTATTTAAAGTACTATTCCCTTCAAAACAGTTCTATAATTTCTCCTATTTTAGTAGTATAATATAAACAGTATTTAAGAGGCACATAGAGAATCATTTCGCTCTGCATTCGCAATATAGCACAACAAGATGCAAGGTGCATGCAACAGCCGCCTAAGGTTGTTCTTCACTGAAAGGATGCCTTCTCTATTGATGCATACATAGTATAAAACAGGATTCAATTACTTGACACACCTATACAACTCTACCTATGACTTATGAAAAAAAAAATATGTAGACTCATGGCCATAAACATCAAGACATCACTCCACCTTCAAGGCCTAATTAATAATTTTCTATAACTATGTTTTATATAGTTCTGTTTGTCTCTTCCTATTTTTTCTAATATTATTCAGTGTCATTTTGAGTTTTTTATACAAAAGTAAAAGCGCCAGCCAAATCATTAAACTGAATGGATTCAGTTTAGAATTGATGTTTCACAGCAATGTAATCCCCACCTACACCACTCAATGGAGCTCAATGAAATTTGACAGAGATGTAAAGTATAGTCTGAAAGAACACATAGGCTACCTAGTTTTGTTTTTTTTTATTTGTCGCAGGCAAAAGCTACTTAAATATAGAAGTATGAGAATAGTTTAAAACAGTTAAAGTGTGTATACAGGTAACTAACAATAAAATGTTTTTCTCCTTAAGTGAAAATACTCAATACATTCTTAATTACTCAATTCTAAGAATGAAATGAAACCTATGTTTTATATTAATATATTTACTTACATATCTTTGTTAGAAAATAATAATAAAAACAGCAAGCATGATTAATGCAAGAGTAAATAAACATAGAAATAAAATAAATATTAAAAGTAAAATATACAATATAAGTTACCTGTATTTATTGTTGAATGATCCTCATGAGTGAAGGAAATTTTTGAACTTATAAAATTACTAAACACAAACTTCACTTTGTCCAAACTGTTTATTTTACTTAAAAACTTATTAACACGGCAATTGGATACACTATCAAAACAATGAAGTAGATAAATTTTCTTAGCTTCAAATTTTTTCGACTTGCTACCAAGACATAATAGAACTACACTGTTTGGTTGACAGAAGAAGTGAATTTTGTGTTGAACTCCTAGTGTTGTCCTTTACTCGTGAAACTTTATGTCGATATCGATTCGATCTTAGATTTCCACTTCGATTTAAAGATATCTTCATAATCACTGCTACACGGCCAATTTTGATTTTTTTTTTACAAAGCAATATTTATAAAGTTCTATTAAAATTTCAAGCTAACAATGTCGTGATTTTAAAACAGTCCTTAACATAAAAGTAGACTCTTGCAAAGTCAATATTATGAACAATTGGTTTGTTAAATAGTGAATATATAGAAATGCTACAGTTTTAATTTCAATTTTTTTTTTAGTAAAACATCATTTTGTTGATAATTTCTTCTTGGTTTCGTGAGTTTTTACTTTAATGATTTCATTATTAGCCTAAATCATGACGGATATTTTGCAAAAAGCATCTTCCGAAAAAAAATTTTAGTCAGATTGTTGAGCACGAAAATGAGTATGTTTATTTTAAGCTGTAAATAGTAAATAGAAATTGTTTAATATGAAATAAATTTGTATTTCCCTAAGTACCGTGTCTCATATGCACATCACTATAGTTCACGCACTGGAAAACGTGAGCCAACTATTAGAAAGAAAGGACACGATATCTACGTTTCGCTTTTAGTGCACGTGGCCATAAAAGCGACAAATGTGCCAGCATGTGTTTTAGTTTTAGTTGATTCTATTACTTATCGGCGTGTTTACGCTGCGTGCATTCGCTTTAGGTTCCATTCAAACGACCCAAGCCAGTGAGGGACAGCAATTAATGCAATATTTGTTTTTTACATTTTACCTCTTTCTTCATTAGGATCAAACGTTATCTGTTAGGAAGCAATACTAACCAGTCTTCTGCGCTCGAAGACCATCTGCGGGTTCGGCTCCAGACTGAACCCGTAAACAATGTTCTACTGTCGGAATATGTGAAATGGTTTCGTCTACCGCAAGCGTATAATTATCGCCGATCTATGTGAAAAGAATAGCGATATATCGGACTTGCTTTTCTGTGCGTGTGTGAATGGTCCCTTATTGCATCGAGTCCTTTACACACGTTTTTCCGTATCCTTAGGGATACCTTATCCGTTTTTTTTAACATGAAAACGCGATCGAGACTGACGTGACTCGATAGTCACGAGACCGATCAACGTTTTCTTCCTTCTCCCAATCTTAACTTTCTTCTATAAAACATATACATGAGATGTTAATTAGATATATTAGTTTAAAATGTATCTACTCTATTTTAAATATTAGTTTTTACCTAAGTCTTTGCGTACTTTTATAATTTATTCTTGATCTTACAGTCAAACTATTTAGTACAGTTTCGTAAGACGTTGTTTTAATCAATTATTTACTATGTACCTTATCTTATAAATGTGAATGTTTGGATGGATGGATGAATGTTTGTTAGAGTTTGTAGCCTAAATTACTAAACAGATACACTTGAAACCGCCGAAATGGCGTAGCGACCGCTGCCCATAGACATCCGCAATTGCAAATGCATTGCCTACCCTTAATCGACGGTGGAAGGAGACGCAAACAAAGAGGATATTTGCTGTTCCTGTGCGTCTCCTCCACCGTCAAATCCACTTTTCCTTCCCATCCGTCCCTCTTAAGAAAAGGGTGGAAAAGTAAAGGGACCAAAACTAGGCCTCCGGCACCACACTCATCAAACGAAACGCGGAATCGCTCTCACTTCACGCCTGTTTTCTGTGTGGTCGTGGTATTACACCGGGCGAGCCGGCCTATTCGTGCGAAGATGTTAAAGCGGGCTCTACCACTGTTAATGATGTAGAGGATAGTCTGGAAGAACACATAGGTTACTCACTTTTGTCTCTCTTTAATTCCACGCGTACGGAGTCGCGGGCAAAAGTTAATAATAGAAAATAAATAAAATACCTTAATAAGCCAAAGTGAATCTGCAGTTAGTTTGACAATTAATCGTTTTCCTTTTTTATTAAAAAAAGATAGGTATGAAATAAGCCAGTTTACAGAACTTTTAGGCACTAAACGTAGATTTGTATTAATACTCTAGACTAGATCAATTACCACCATAAATGAAGAGGCGGGAATCTGTGGTATTTTGTGTCTGTTTGATTTTCACCATTTTGACGCTGATGGTTGCGGTTGTTCGTGGTGAAGAGTTTTCGAACAAATAAAAGTGTAAAGTCTTAACAGACACTTATGTTAGGCCTATATTTAATTAAGAACTAATCGAATCCATTTACTAATTTACGGCGGATCTCAATAACGAACGATCGATGCAATCCATGTCAAAATCGCTCTCAAAAGTTATCCACGTAATCCGACCGTTAGAGCGATGACGTGGCCGTAGCGTACTGGTTTGTAATTTGTAAGACAGAGGTTCATCACGGCCGGTCTCAATATGCAATTTTATCAATCGGCGATCGCAATCCGTGTTTTAATGTGTTTTTCCAAACAATCTTCTTCATCCATGTCAAATTACATCGAGATCCATTCAGATGTTTAGGCTACAAACTCTTACAAACATTCATCCATCTAAACTTTTGCTTTTACAATATTCGTATGAAGTACGGTTATGTTATATTAAAACCAAATACGTTATGTTCTTTAATATATTATTAAATTTTTCCAGTTATATATAAAATAAAGTTTTATTTGACTATATCTGTACTACGATTTCGCGGATTCTGACTCTAATGAAAAGTTTGGTGGAACGCGGTCGATCAACTATCTCCTATGTGCAATGTGTTTTTGATGCTTTTGAGATCGATCATTCAATATTGAGACTGTCCGTTAGTGTAATTTAATAATATAAGTAGTCGTGAAGTTTTTAAAACACTAATTAATAATTATATAAAGCAACAATAAAACACAACATTTGCAATTGTTTATTTTTTTTTGGTTTGGAGATTAATTTATTTTATATAGATGTAATATTGAAATAAGAATAAATAGCATTATAACAAATGTTCACAATATTCCCGAACTTGATTTTTAATTCTTTGCACTTGACATTTATGTCATGTCACGCTGTCAAACTCAATAATGACACATCGAAAATCGTGTTGTGATAAAATGTCTAACTGGTATGCATCTACTTTGTCTACCGTCTATTTATTTATAGAGTTAAAATCGAGGATTGTGTCTCCATTGATATCATCAGCTACCGCTACCTAGCTTTTTTTTGCTATTTAATAACCTTGACGATGGCCAAATCATCGAAAAAAAGATGGGATCAACTATTTATTATGAGAGTCCAGGAGGTATTATATCTATGTTGTCAATGGATGATGAATCTAAATAAAATACTAATACCTCAGAGCTAATAACAATACTAACATACTATAGTATAATAAGTCTTTCCTACCTTCAATCCATACCTATATTATCTAACAAGCTTTTCCCCGGCGACTCCATACGAGCGGAATTAAAACACAGTAAATAGCCTGTGTGTTTTTCCAGACAGTAATCTAGATCTGTGCTAAATTTTATCAATATCCATGAGTTGTTCGGGAAATACCTTCCAACAACCATCCTTTTATCTAACTTTCACATTTATAATTTATTAGTAAGATAAATTATAGTATATTACATAAAATATGAGTAAGATTTAAAATAAAAATATTAAAAAACATTATCTTATTTATTAAAATAACTTATTATACATGTTTTTACACAATAATTTAACCCTAACCTTAACTTTTAATAATAAATATAAGTCATGATTTGAAATAGTGTTATAATAATGATAATCTTAGTGTCTCAGATTATTCAATAGCAGCCAATAAAAGTGTAGCTACAGCATCACTGGGCGATCTGACAGTAAGCACCATGGTAACACCTGATAGAGATGGTACCATTCTAGCTGAAAATATTACTGGAATGCCTGTACGCCACATCCCTAAACCACAGATTTTCTTTACATTATCCCCCTTTACAGAAGAGTCTGGTAAACCTAAATGCTTACACATTGCTGTTGCAACTTTTGTAACATCAAAGTCATTCATGACAAAAGTATCTATTACTTCTTTTTGAGATTCTGCACTCTCCCAAGAGACCTCCCAGTCTTCAGAAGCTGGTTGAATATTAAATTGTTCAGAACCTCCAATTTCTATAGGTTCCAAAGTATATGTATCTGGATAACAATCTCCAGGGTAAGGCTTTCCAGTTGTTGAATCACAATCATATACGGAAAACTCTAGAGCTGCTCCAAAACATGCTACAGAATTCAGTGGATTTTTAGGAAATTCCAATACACAAAATATATTTCCTTTCTTTTCATAAGGTAGACTTTCACATGGTATTTCACCAATAAGATTATATTCAGGAGCCATGTCTAAACATACATGGACTTCTTTAAGTAGATGACCAAACAGTGTATTTAAACATTCAAATTGAAGAATTATATGTTTGGCGTAGATATATTTTATACACTTAACTTGATATTCTGTGCCTGGTTCTGTCAGATCAATTGGTTCACAAGTTTTAAATATTGGGCCAAGTTTTGCAATGTATGGAATCACCTTAAGTTGACTTGCATATTGTTCTTCTGGAGAAACAATAGTTACCGGAAATATTTCAATTTGTGCTAATTGATCCTTGGGTTTTTTAATGTTTTTTACAATTGGAACTGTATCCATATTGAAACTCTGGTCTGCATTTGTATTTAAATGATTTTGAAGTGCTTCTTTTAATAGTATAAAATTGTAAATTGGCACATTAGAAATGTAATTATTAATAAGTTTATGGTCTCCAGAATTTAAAATGGCACTATAAAAAGTAGCCCGATCTCGAACTTCGCCATCATCATCTGTTTGACATCTATCAAGTAAAACTTTTATGCTAGGTAGAAGATCGGCACATGCTGCCCCGAATTGAGCAACTGCAGAAACAGCTGCTGCCCTCACAGGTTCGGAGTTCAAAAGAATTCTGTTATAAATGAATCTGATAAATCTTGAAGGTTGACGAACTTTAGGACCCTCATGTCCTATAACATGTAAAACACGTACTGCAAGAGTTTCTTGATGAGAATCTTCAATGAACTCGCACAGATGAGATAGGCCTATTTCCTTGGCATCTGGATTTTCCTCAATCAGTGTAATAATAGTATTTGCAATAGCCATTTTGTGTTCCTCATCCCTTTCAGCTCGGAGCATATCAGATAAAAAAGATACAAGGAATTCCTGTTTCCGAGGATATTTAGAACAAAGGTTCTTAATAGAGTCAACTACTACAATTTTAAATTCATCTGATATTTCAGACAAAAAACTTGAGATTCGTTTTATCAAACGCCCAATAGAACTCTCTGTACAGTTAGCAAGCAGAGTTGTAATAGCCAAAGTTGCTACTGAACGGTTAGGGTCAAAAATCAGGTTTTCAAGATCCACTGTACAAACAATCACAGCTTTTGGATGTTTTGCAGTAACTTGTGCTAGAGTTCTTACCCCAGCAAGCCTTGTGGAAGCTTTTGAAGAGAGACAAAATATTTGTATTGCGGATAATGCTTGAGTAAGATCTCTTATATTTTGGCTTAAACTGACAACAGCATGTGCTGCTTCATATATGACTATTTCTGATCTATGGTATAAACTAGACTCTATAAATTGTAAATAAGATTTTGATTCTTCAGGTTCATTCTCTGCTAGTTTAGCAGCATAGCGAATAAGAAGACAAACTGTATAAGGCGATTGAATTGGCCTTTGCAATAACATGTTGACCAATTTATCCATAAATAAACGGTCATTATGTCTGGAAGCAGAAATGACTCCAAGTGCATGATATGTTACCATGATATTGTCAGATGTGATCGCTACCTGTAAAAAAAAGTGTATTATTAAATATTTATATGAGTCAAGCATTTGTTCTTTCTTTATTTAATTATTCCCTCTACAAATGTTTTTAGTATTTAATTCTATAAGATTACAATTTATATAAGGATATGTAAGGACATATCCATAAAATAACACTTGCAAGCCGTTAACATAGATAAGTAAAACAGTAATTATAAGATTAATTATCGACTTATACTTAATGATACTTAAACAACTAATAATATGATTTAAAATACTTAACTATTTTAATTAAGACATTATAATCTAAGATAAGTTGAAATAAAATGTATCAAATCATAATTACCTGTGCTTCATTCAAACATCTCTGAACGAAATCTGGAGCTGATGCAGTCAAGTGCAGAGCAGAGACTAATGCAGCTGAACTAACAGCTGGATTCTTATCAAGTATAGCCTGTATCATGTGTCTTTCAATATTTTGTAACATTGAGTTGTCTGTAATGGTTCTCAGTGTCCTTATTGCTGCAGCTCGGATTAAGTCTACTTTCTCAGTCATATCCTTGGTTAAAGAAGATGATACAATAAATACATTTTGAGCCAAAGAACTAAGTTCCTTTATACTCAAATATACCAATCTACGCAGCATCACATCTTTTGATTGAAACAATCGTGTTATCGCAAAGAAAATGGTTGTAGCCTCTTCTGTTGTAAGATGTACCCCTTGGTTTAGCATGATTAGGGTTTTACTCAATATAAGAATACATTTCTTCGCATCTACTTGATTTGAATTAAAGTATCGCACTTCTTGTAAAATAATATTTTTATCCAACATTCGAAACTTTTCCATTCCGCCACCTTCTTCTTCTTTTTTATCTCTACGAAAATTCGCCATTATTTGTATTTCTCAATAATATGATAAATGGTTTTAAACTGTAATAATCAATACAATACCCTACCATAAACAAAAATCGTTAACATAAAATGTCAATGTCATAATAGTTCTGTGTCGATCATGAGTAATCGGATCACTGTGATTGAATCGATTGATCGATCGGAGTGCAATTCGCAGAATATGCGGGTTTTTTGAACCAGCAACTCTCGTCGTGTGGGTCGTGGTAGGAGCCAGCTAACCATTGATGGACAGACACACATGTGTCTCGCTCACCAACTGCAAACTGTAACTGACCGACCTACTAATAGGACTCGGGCCTCCGTTATTCTTTGGAACTTGACCACTTAGCCAATGGATCATGATCATGACTTACACGACACAGGTCTACAACAAAGCAAACATCAGAATATACTTTTCTCTAGACGGGTTCAAATGGGCAGCGGATCGCGCAAAATTAATTGATCCGATGGGCATGGACATCTGTAACATCAGAGGGACATCAGATGCGTTGCTGGCCTTTAAGGCAGGAGACGATTACACTTTCATTGATGTTATGAGTAGGAGATTGCAAGTATCCGCAGACTTAAATGATGTTAAAGACCCGATCACTATACCGTGACCGATCTCAATCGTAAGAAAAATCGATTGACCCAGGTCTATATCGATTCGTTAGCAACGGCGGATCAAGGGGTGGGGGTCATGATCCCTCCTGAGCTGGTTGACTTGAACACGACTATGTGACACTCCCCTGGCGCCAAACCTGGATCCGCCCTTGTTCGTTAGTTAGGTGATTTAAGAATGCAAGTCAAGGTAATATAAAATTCGAAGAGCAATGAATACGAAAAATGTTTTAATGAACGTGAAATGCCAGGGTTACCAGACCTTAAAAGATATTTATTTGTTAAAAACGAAGCTTGGTCGATTTTATCCAGGAATTCTTAAATTTTAATGCCTTAAAAATCAAATCCAGTTTTATTGCTTATCTTATTTCAATTTCATATACAGGATATTCCAGATAGAGGTGTACAACTACCACGGATTGGTAGAAAATGTGACAATTTGACTGAACCGAACTTCCCTATATTCAAAGCTGCTTCGTTTGGGCGCTAGAGGGCCTTATAGTTGTAAATAATCATTTATCCGTATATCTCGAAACGCCTATAATTTTATTCATATTGAAACCGTACTTTTGGCTGTTAAATCACGTCTTTTGTGGAACAAGTTTTAGTTCACAAAAATCGGCTGCCTTGATCTAGGGGTTGTAGGTCAATTTATTCGGATATCTTTTTAGCTGTTATTAGAAGAATATATATATTTAATTAATGTTAACGGTATCTAAAATCAGGGATTAAATAAATAAACGCAAATGTAATATTTTTTATCCTTTATTAATTTACCAATCTACAAATTCTTTTGTACAAGGGTATTTGAAAAATCGTTGGCATTTAGTGCCCTAACATTTACAATCATATTAAAGTGTTCTGATTTATAAATTGTAATTACATAATACTAACATAGCTTTGTTTATAAATCTAAAACAAATAATGAACTAATGCATGTAACAAAATCTTATTTACGAACTATTTGACAGAATCATTGTTAAATGTATTACAGTAAATTAATGCAATTGAAATAAAAACAATGTCGTTTACAACATTGAATAGCTGCAAATAGACCACATTGTGGCAAGGCTAACCTTTCTGGTAATTAACGTAAAATATTAAAACATCCATGACATGCGAAATAAATTTTCAGATAAGCATTTAATACAAATTATAAATGAGGCTAGACTAACATCTGTGGTAACATAAAAATCTTTTGACGAGTTATCTTAAAGGTTAAATGCCGAAGATATAAAACAGCAAATTTTTTTTACACTTATTGTTTTTATGATTCTCGATTGTTTTATATGGTTAGAACGTTATCTTACTATTAAATTATAGTGTATTTTAATAAGCGTTAACTTATTATTTAGCACTGCTTAATTGTACAAATAAGGTGAGCTTCTTACTATTTTTAAGTAACAACATTTAGGGCCTGTCCCACCACTGGCTGATAGAGGTTCAGATAACATAAAAGTGACATCACTGTCAGATAAGTAAACAAAATCCGATATTTCCATCATATATTTTACACGTTGGTTTGTTATCAGACAATTTACAATTTGGACAGGCCTTTAATGGTGAATTTATCAAATAAATTAGTATAAATAACGTTTGAATCCAGCGGGGAGTTTCACAGATAATTTAGCTCATAATCGAGGGTTATAAATATAAGAGAATCTTAGACTTCTAAGTAATGGTATGTACAACATCACTTTATTTCTGATATTGTACTAATAATTAATAATACTATATAAAACGAAACATGATTACGAAGAAACATTATTAAATAGTAGTAAAATGTTCGTTCATCCTAACAAGTAACAAGTTTTACTATATGAAGTATAGTATGATAATTAATTTCTCTATAAATAAGGGAAAATTTTATATGAACATGAAATATAAATCATTTACCTTGGCGAAAAATATCACGCCTTAGGCGTTACAAATCAGTAGGTGTTTATTTAACTAAACTTAACACTGCCAAGCAGAAAAACAATATAGTATCACATTTCTGAACATAACTTCCAGTATCACCAAAATTTATCATTTTGATACATCTACTAATTACTTACAACTAAATACCTTGCGCCAAATAAAACCTCTATATTAAAAATTAAACATAAATGGAAATATATTTTTAAAACGCCAAGCATCAAGCTCATCCAATGTGTGGAATGGTGTTGGTAATTTCTAGGATTGGCAGGAATTTCAGCAATATTTACTCTTTGATTTGCAAGGTGAAACTGTTAGAAGACATCTTACAATATTCATATAAATTTAACAGCAGATCTTGCACAAACGCACTAGTTAATTACACGTAATGTCGATAGTTTTAATTATTTAGTCCAGCTTTTGCCGTTTATGTTTAGCCATGTTGTAGATTCTGTCGACAATATCTAATTTTGATTTTACACCATCCACACCAAATAAAGCAAATGAAAACTTAAATTAAAAGATTTAACATCAATATTTTCCACGCAAGTTTAAACGTAAGTTATAATACATTGATAAATTTCTATATACGTTATTACATTCGTATTCGTATTTTCTCTAAATAAATGTAATCGAGATTATTTTTCATCAATACGACTATAGGCATAATACAATATTTTCTGATGAAGTGATTAATGTTTGCTACAAAACTACATTCTACATGATGCTAGAAAATGAATTAGTTTTATATTATATTATAAATACATTCAATAACTTATTATCTATAAATTTCCATAAAATTTCGCCGACTGATCCACCTAATATTACCAATGTTAGAATCATAATTAATTTTTCTTCTAAATTTTGTCAAACATAATATCCTCCGACCATACTGCCTATTCACATGTTAAAATTTACACAAACTGTATTTATGTCATACATAGATAAATGTATTTTTTTTATTTTAATCTTCTAATGTTTAACAAATGGCCAAAAATAATTTTGTTTCTTTTTTTCTAAATTAGTGAACCTACATTTTTGTTCCTTTTTGAATAATCAATAAATTTATATTAAATTTTTTTGTAATATACACTCTTACACCATCATTCACTATAAATTACTTCTTTACTTGGAAGGGTTATGTTTAATTTTTCGAAATAAAATCCTAGACCATGGATCGCTTCCATTACGACATTGGCATTTTACGAAGTGGTAAATCCTAACCTAATACAGGCGCAAAAGACAACATCTGCAATCCGTTTGCACCTTATTATAATATATTAAACATTTTACTGGCTCGCCTTTTAAGCATTACAATTACATATTCGTCAAACATCTATCATCTACTGCAAAAGATAGCAAAAGTCCTGCTTATTTATGTAACGAGTTATTTAGTACCATAGTTCATTGCCATACCATGATAATAAACTCGTATCTCAAAACAATATCACTTTTTACATTATGCATCGTATCTCACTAAAACAACTCCGAGTTGTCTAGCATGGTACCTGCTCAGAATTCTCAAAAATACGTCTCCTAAATATTTTGAAATGTGTTCGAATTTTGGTCTTCCATTTGGTCATGTGATTGTGCGATTGTTTATTTTTATGTATAAAATAAGAAATTAAATTAGATTTATATGATTATAAAAATCACAAAACCACTGAAACAGTTTGTATATTGTGACTTTGTATATCTAATAAATTGGACAACGGTCACAAATATATACATTTGAAAAATTTTTAGGTATGCGGTGGCCATATTTTCTTAAACAATCATTCTCATCGTTTTGGAGTAACGATATGTTGGGTTATAAATTGTTTCCGGACAAAACATTACATGCCTATAATTAAATGAAAATAAACCTATCTAGGCCGGCTTTGGAAATTCATGCATACGCACTATTCTCTAACGTTTTAATACTAGTAATTAAAATTTAATAAACTCTAATATTTTGGCACTGGCAATACTTCAAAACGCGCACAACAAATCACTTTAACTGCCACATCTAGACTCGTTAAATGGTCACTAGGAAAGTTCCTTAGTTTATGATAAATGTACGTATTGCGCCACTATTTACTTTTTTACATGACGTTTTACCAACATTTATCGACGAACGACGAAATTTTACGATTCTTACAATTTTTTGCGCCAAACATATACCCGAACAATACAACAAACAAAACCGGAAAATTGTACCGATTTTGATACGTGAAGTAAGAACAAGTCCTATCAATCAGATATATTATTTTAAATGATATGTTTACTCTATAGTTGATATCATTTTCCGGAAAATACGTTTCGTTTTACGAATAGAGTAATTTTGTATAATATTACAGCTGTTGTACAAAAACTCATAATTATGTTACATACTAAAATCGGCACAATCTTTTTAATTTCCGGTTTCATCTATACAAAACTCGAATTGTTTTCTGAAGTCGCTACTTAAATTCATTATTGTCCTAATTTTTAAGGAAATAGTTTTTTTTTTTATTTTGTCGTTTATTATTAGCTGCCATATGTTACTTGTAATAAATGTGTAAAAAATTTAAAAGTCATTCCAAAGAACAATTAAAATGGTTGTCAACTGTTTAATGAATTTGTTGAACTAACCTTAGTAACGTAAAGGGTAGGCAGAGAAATAAATTGCATTATATTGTATAAGTTCCGAGTGATAATTTTTGAGTTATGTGCTAGAATAAATTTGTTCAATTGTAATCGAGAGGCCATGAGATTACCGGAGAAATGGTTTAAAATTAAAGTTACAAGGTATGTCTTTGGTTCGAACCCGTAAACGATGTCTTAGGGCCTGTCCCACCATTGGCTGATACAGGCTTAGATAGCTTAAAAATGACTGCACTGTCAAATAAGGGAATAAAATCCGATATTGGTTATCAGACAATTTACAATTTGGTGGGACAGGTCCTTTTTCTCTTAATATCTAATCTTTGGATTGTAAATCAATTTGGTTATTTTCTAGATATTTGGTTTTCTCTTTGGGGTTTATAAAACTTAATGTATTTGCTTGTTGAAATATCTATAATTATATTATTATAGTTGCAGTTGAAGTATTTTAAGAAATTAAATCATTAGAATAGTGTAAGGAATTTGTAAACTGTATACCTGTTTTTGAAAATTCCTAAATATTGTGAAAAAAGTTGAGATTCCACTATAGTGTAGGTCGCAATAAACTCCTAACCATAGTATTCCTTAAATATTTTAACTCTTTACCAATGAACATAGCAATTGCTGTCATTTGTTTCAACTACGTAAATTACAACATTTATTTTTCATACCGTTTTCATGTACTTTCACTACATCGCTTTCAAATAGAACGTATTATATTAGAAACATTGAAATACATTAGATATGGAGAAATTTTAGTATCCGTCGTGTTCATGCTGAATGTCGAAGTTTACTTGAAGGGTGACCGTCTATGCCGGCAGCATCTACCACGATTTTCTGAAAAACATTAAAAAATAACATCAAATCCGTGTTCGTGATCTCTTAATATCTTATTTTATAGTAGATTTTACTATCTACCGGTAATTTTTATTTGAGGAGACTGAAAGAAAATTAGTCCTAATTTTTTTACTGTTAGATCCAGACATTTAAGAAATATATAGACTAGACATTGTAAACAATTGATTTTCAGAGTTACTTTCTCTGAAACGTACTATATCAGTTAAGTTCAACGCCATCTAGTGTTATTATGAAATATATTTTACAAAATTATAGTGAGCTCCATCTCTTGGTATAAAATAAGCTAAATAGTGTCCAGAAAAATATAAACATTGTTATGTTTTAATATCTGGTTAGATTAGTCGACATTATTTTTAATTTTTTAACTACTTTATCGTTATTACGAAAATATAGAATGTATTCCTTGGTGTAAAGAACGTGATCAATGTAATAAAGAAGGCCTTCAGGCCAAATATATTATCAGTTATATTAGAAAGTTTCTGAATTACCCCGTCAGACGTTCATGGCGTAGTACACCGGGTTCTGCGGTGGCGCTAGTGGTGACGTAGCCGATGTCGCCTGCGAGGCTGACGCTGCGCCCTCTGGCGGAGCACGGGGAACTCGCGACGGCGATCCGGGAGCCGGCTGGTAAAGCGGTGGTGCCACCTATTATATAAAAATATGAACATTTAAACAATTTTAGAGGTTTTATAAAAGTCTATTTTTTAATCTATACCAATAATATAAAGAAGAAAGATTTGTAGTTTTGGATTTTTGGACTACTGGACCGATTTAAAAAAATCTTGCACCATAAAAAGCCATTTTATCAGCGAATAACACGGGCTACATTTTCACTTTTCTTAATTTTACCCGGGCAAAGTCGTTTATAATATTTTATGGATAGGGTAGGGAAATGTTATAAAAATTAAAGAGATATATTTTACCTTTTCGGAATAGCAAATCATTTGTTTTCCGCCGCCAGGTTGCGCGGCAAGTACGGGCCTGTATCTTGCCGGGGCCGGGCATAAATTCTGTAAACGCCAATGTTTTTGTATAAGATTTTTATCTATGTTCATATTTATTACTGGTTGTAGCATGTTTAAAAATAAAAAATAATACAGACGAATTATCATTGAACATACATTAATACATACATTCTACATACCTTGGATTAAATTATCGCAAAACTGTTGTGCGATTGTCGATTGTTTCGCAGGCAATTCAACTGTTTAATTGTACAACTAAAAATCGAGTAGTTTAGAAGTCCATATAAGGTCATAAGAATCAAGCGCGACTAAACAGTTTTACGATAGTTTGTCTTATTATGTTTTTTTTTAAATATCTTTCTGTCTCACCTGCAACTGCAGAGCGTGGCTGTAATGAGCTCGTTGCTGGAGGGCGGCATTAGGCTGCGGTGTACTGGCCCCACTACGAGCTTGCTGCTGATAGTACGATTGCACTTGGCGGTTATCTGGAATTAAAATTTAATAGTAATCAGCTAAGATAATTATAGTGCGGAATCCGAGGAGACTTCAAGCAAACATATACATTTTTACTTGCTTCACGCTGCAACTTGAAATCTACGGTTGCTTGCTGGAAGCTGTTCGTGTACGACGGCCCTTAAAGATCTAAAGAACTACATTGAATTTTATTTCTAAACCATTGCAGGATCTTCCTATATGCTAAAATATTTGCGTTTTACCTTATACTTGAAATGGTCGTTACCTACAAGGTGCGTAAAAAAAGTGTCTTTGAACAGTTGTAGAAGAGTTTGTGATGGTATTTTTTCTTCAAAGTCGACATCTGAGAGACTATTGCGACCGTGAAATAATCATAGTACCACTAGTAGTACTTTAAAGAATTGTCCCCGCAGAGCTCAAAAGTATTTGGTATAAATGGGATAAACATGTGACGAGCCGTTTTATATAGTTAGTAACATACTACTCGTAATATTATAAATGTGAAAGTTTAGATGGTTTGATAGATGCAAGTTTGTAGCCAAAACGGCTGAGCGGATTTCGATGAAATTTATTATAGATGTAGAGGATAGTCTGGAAGAACACATAATCTGCTCACTTTCTTTTTATTTTATTCCACGCGGACGAAGTCGCGGGCGAAAGTTAGTGTTATACATACAGTCGTTAGGTGCCCACTGAGCTGGGTATTCGTGTTGGTAGTGGTGGTGGCTGCTGTAGGGCACGTAGAGCAGCTGGTGGTGGCTGCGAATCGGCGGCGGGGACTCCGGCCGTCTACCGCGCGCAGCAGCACGCACCGGCGATGTCTGCTCGGAGCTCGTCTGCGAGCTGTACAACTCCTGACTGCTGTCGGAACACCTACGTAGTCTTAGACATTTGAACCTAATAGTCAAATCAATGCAGGAAATGACTTTAACGCATCGTAACATAATCGCTATCGTTTGAAATCTACCCGCAAAAGAACAAAGTGCGATAATGCACGTCCTCAAAAAATAGAACGTGCAGATACGACAATAAACAGCGGTGTAAAAGGGACTTTGTTGTTTCCCGTACATCCGTGCGAACAAAGCCGGAGTCTAGGTCGGCATCCGGCTGTTATCTGGGTTTCTCGCTGTTTCTGATCCATGTTTTTTTGAAATAATCGCTAAAGGCCTGGTTGACTATCTGGGCCGCAATGTGCAATCTCCTTCATTCGCATTGTGTCCCATTTCCTATAGATTCAGGAATGTAGGCACAAAAACAGTTTGTCAACTTTTTTAAATTAAAACCTTCCGGAGTAAGGGTTACGTGGCTTTTTTTTATTTTGACATTAATTTTATTTAAAAAAAGTTATTATTAGAATCTAGTTTGGATTAATTCTATCGTGGAGAAATTGGAATTTATGTAATGTGATTAGTATCGTTTGCTCCGAATACAAAGATAACTTTAAGATTTTTTATATCACATTTGTGACGAGACTTTTTTAAGAGATATCAGTATTATCTACGAGTAACTAGTTTAGTACGGAGTACAGATGTAGCACTAGATTAAAACTTTATGCAGTCTCGTGGATAGCTGCAAGTGCATGTTCCAAGGGAAGTGAGGCCCACGGAGGGTTAAGGAAAGCGCGCTGAGGGGTGTGTATCATTTTACGCCCCACCGAAATCTAAACCCGTGATGTCCGCGGCGTCTGGCAAAAAAATTCGGCCCACCATTATAGTGCTACCCGGTTACGTATTAGTAATTACCCGATATTGGCGTAGAGGGAACAGTTCCTGAACATGTTTTCTGGCTGTCGCTGTTGGTATTGCGGATATGGCACCATGTTCTGGGCGTGAGCGTGGCACATCTCCGAATGCTGCTGCTGCGGCATCGAGGAGATGCTGCACTGGCGAGATACCACGTGATCTGTTGCCTTCATCCTAATAACGAAAACGACGAATGTGTAGTTTGTAGTTGCGTATTTACACAAAAGCAGTTCCCAAACAGTTCAGAAATATTCGTAGCTTCTATTGAGTTACTTACCAATTAGTGTTGGTGCTCGTGCGGCTCTGCGGCCTCGAATTAAGATTGGCTTCAGAGTAATACGGCCAGGAGTATGTGGAGCTGGTGCGTTGGCACGCATGGGGTTGGTGATGGGTTGCAGCAGTGCTCGATGTTGGCTGCAACTCGTTCTGCATTTGCTGCAGCATATCGTTCGATGTGCCTAGCTGCTGTTTGACCGCAATGCCCCGGACTGCAGGTCGACGGTGGAAGCCTACAAAATAACATTGAAACATCTCTCGCTAACGAGTTTTTACTGTTTTGTATTCATATATTTTGCATTATTAGTACTTTCTGTGTACATTCAAAATCAATGGATGTTGAATGTTCTAAAATATAATGAATCGAAATTAATACACATTTAAAGATGATAAATATAGGAGTGTAGTTTTCTTACCGTAATCATCATGTTCATCATCGCTGCTGACGGGATGTGAATCTTGACCGTATCGTTGTCGTATGCGCTCAGTTCGTGGTGCACTTGCTCTGGCGAATGCAGCCAATCCATCGTCACCGTCGTTGGCGCCTGGTGTACATTATACAACACTTAGTATGTAGGTTAAGAGAATCAGCGGTGCATTTCTTAACCATTAGATCGTACCGAAATTTATGTCTGCTAGCCTAAGTCACAGCCATGTGCCAATTTGTTTTTCAACTTAGTAATTCCCTATTGTCGCCTAGTTGTAGAACGTTCAAGTTTTGACAGGATTACCAATGTCAATTATACCTATCTTTGTATAAAAAATATCTTTTACTGTTAAAATTCTTTTGTCTTCAGTGTTAACTAACTCATATTTTTGTACAAGGAAGGTTACAAATCTACGTCAAATATTTTAATTGAAAAAAGTTACAAAACAGAGTTTTTGTTGCCCTTGAAAGTTACACGGCTTTGTCCTACATATTTTTTTGGAAGTATTTTCCAGTTATTCCGAAAAGTTCTTCTAATTAAATAACATTTTCATTTAAATTTACGACCTCGGATAATTCTGAGAAATAATTTCGTTATTGTTCATGTTGTACTTTATACCTAAAAATTATTAAGTGTTCATTTTTAAACATCTTTTAAATAAAAGATATAATAATTTATTTACGTAAGTTTGTTTTACTATAAGTCAGCTTTATTTTTACATTTTCATTAGTCGTATATCAGAAAATTGTCCAGACTCGATCGCTTTGTTAGATAGCAGCCAAGGACGTTGTTTTATGTTTAATCGATACTAATGAGAACATATCTACGACGCTACGGCAAACAGAAAGACATTCCTAGTTACTTCGTTTTATGTTATTGTTATCTTTATATTAATTACGTTAGATGTTATTGATAATTTGGATGGAATACGATATCCTGTTTGCGAAACCATATAAAATAAAAATAATTAAATGATGATTATTATTTTTATTTTTCTGCCGTTGTGACAAAGATGAAAATTTCACGATCTTGCAAAACATAGTTCTTAGTTTTGTAGCGTCATAGTCAGCTGTTTAGACGCACTTTTGTTGTTTTTTTAATTGTAGCGATTGTCCAGTCGAGTTTCATTATTTTTGCGGACTCCGGTGCGTATGTTAAAGTGAGTTTTTTCAGCCACAGCACTGTTATAAAAGACTAGATTTTTCAAAACGAACAAGTGTGACATGAATATATTTTTAAGACATTTTACGAAAAGAAACTTTTTCACATTATAAATTATTCTAACATATAGGTAGAATTGGTTATCTGGCGTATGGGTACTCTTACCAGGAGTTCCGGCGACCACGTCAGGAGCTGGTGCTTCATTATGATCTTTGTAGTCATTGTTAGTAGCTGCTGAGGTCCTGTCTCCTGGTGGCACATAGTAGAAGCCCTCGTGGTGAGCGGCGTTACCGACGCACGCTGTTAGCGGTGCCAATGTAGACAGGAACTGACGTCTGGGCTCCGGCCTTGGCTGTATACATACCGGATTATCAAGATCATTTAATAAGACTTTTATTTTTTTTTAAATCTCATTCAGCCTAGTTAACGTTGCTTATCGACATCTAAGTTTTCTTTCAAAAGAACGATCAGATCAGAGAAGCAGCATATACCTTTGGATATTGCTTTAATATCTTCCTCCTTCACATTTATTTTAAATGTAACTATTAGTGTATAACGATAGTATTGGTCTAGTGGTCGTGGGATAAGATTGTATTTTGAATTACCCCTCATTTAGATTTACTAAAGTAAATCGTAAAACCCTTCAATTGTTTGTTGTTCATCAAATTACCCGTAACTAAATTGTTTCGAGGATTTGTTTACATTTCGGAAACCAAGTATGCATGTACTTCATCATGCGCGAAACGTGTCCCGGCATCATTCATTTGCATTACTCTACATCTACATCGTGCACATGAATTAAAAAAATGCCTCCAGGATTTTAAAATTTTATAAACAGGTACCTACTACTTTTACTCTACCCTACAGACTTACGTTACTAATTTTTAGACTAGTTATTTACTCGCGAAAATGATAACTCCTGTGAAAATTAAAATACCAATATCCAGGCATAAACACAAAATTGCACTCAAATACGGACAGTTCTGCTATTAGCTTTAACGTAGATAGATCCACTCGATATGCTGCCAAAATGGAATTTCGACGTAGCTCGTTTCTGGACGTATTTTCCGAAGGTTTCAGATTTGTTAGCACTCCTATACGGTAACTCATTCGAAAAACAAACATACAGAACATCGAGCGTAAAATTTGATCCAGTTTTTACTTTGGAATGATTTCTTTAATATAGGTACATGGCGTAATAACATGCATTGTTATTTACATTTGAATAAACATTTTTTCATTAACAAACGAAATTTTTAAATGTTTTGTAATGTCACAATCTCACCAACCTCCCCGTCCTTATCTTACCACCCTAAGCTTGTCGCACCACGTATTTGCTCTCTAGGTTGATCTGTCACCTCTATCTCTTTTATCATGTCACCTTTCACGTAATCCATCCATTTCTTTCCAAACCCACATCTACCTATGTACTTCTCCAAACTTATAAATAATGTTCTTGTCACAGGCGACTTTTGCCTCCTTACATACCATGCTAATTGGATAACACTTGTATTACATTGTAGTCAAAGAGTCCAAGAGAATGAATAGAATGACAACATCTGTTAGTAAAAGTGCCATTGCAATCGAATTGAAAAGTAATGCAAAGCGGTATTTAAACAAGTGAAGTACCGTAAATACTATTTCATTACACAGGTATATTGAGTTCGGTATTTTGGAGCGTATTTCGAATTTCGTGCACAAATTAATTGGTCCATCGCATGCATCGGAATAGCTCTCGACGGGAATGGCAATTGTAAATCATTCAACACCTTAAGGGGCCGTTCAGACAGGTCCTAGTGTGCGAAGATTTTCATCGCTCAAATTGAGCTTTATACATTTGGTATAAGGTTTAATTTTACTTTTCACATCTTTTGTTATCATGATCAAGCGTAATTTGTTTTGTGTAAAATAACAAGCGATCGGTCGACTCCAAATGTATAAAATAGCGGCGGCGGATAGTATGTCCGCCCCGGTCTGTGTAGACGGACCCTTATCGTCCAATTTTTTAATTGTTAGTTTAAACCGTGTGCCTTTCAAACTGATTAAGAAAAACAGAGACATTATTATGTAACTATCAATTAAAGCGTTGAGGTTTTTTTTGCTATGGGTTTACTTTAATCTAAGGTGATTAAAAGATATCGTGTTATTAAGTAAAAAAAGCTGATTTGCTTAAATAATAATTGTTTTACCATCGTGTTTACTGAGTCTTGTATTACATTTAATTAAAGATTATTTATAAAAACTATAATTTACGTCAGTTAAAATGTTATCTAGTCTAACCGTTAACAATTTTCGATGCTATATATCTTACTAAATTGACAACTTTATGTCAGTTATGATAAAATAATACCCTTAACGAGAAATAATGGCATTGTACATTGACAAATACTGTTGATTTAGAACCTGCGTACACATGAAACTAAACTATCGCACAACTGTTTAGTCCCATTTTGATTCCTATGAGCTTATATGGAGGTGTGCACATTATTCGATTTTTAGTTGTAGAACTATAAACTTGAAAGAGCTCCGAAACAATCGACAATAGCACATTTGTACAATAGTTTAGTCAAAGGTGTTGGCACTCTCATGATATTTTAGTAACTTGTATACGTCACATATGGGACTATGACTTGGCGAGTTAACCATACAACACACACGTATCATTTCTTATAGTTTAGTAGCTCGTGACGTCATTACAAAGTTTTCTAAGCCTTGAGATCGAAATTTCATATGCTTTTGAATTCCAGGCTTATTTTAATATAGACACATAATTATACTTGCATGATATTTGCTAATAGTCACGAGACTTAATTGTGCAGTGTATTTGAATTTTTAGCTAACTTTTTCTTTTAATACGATAACTGTATCTCGTTTATTTAAGATATTTGTAAAATGTAAGGATTAGCTGTTGCTACTTGACACATAATGGCAGAAACATTTTCAACATTTTTCCGCGTCTTAAATCTTTCCGGAGTTGACAAGATACTGAAATGATACAGACTTGTTAATCCTTTGCTCAGTTCAAGTTCTGTTTTAATCCGTTCTTAATTTACTCTTTTGAAAGCTATTTCATGGACCGCAGTCCCTGACCTTCATAAATGGACAGCTTTAAATTTGCGCTACTTTGTGTCTATTCGATTGTCTATTTTGGCGCTGATAGTCGCATTGATTTCGTATTAATAATAGTGATGGACTTTACTTTCGTTAATATCAAAAGGTGCATTTTAGGTGGGCCGAAGCAGAAACTGTAATTTCCAAACAATCGCATATCTATTTGTATAGATCAGTGCCCGATTATTATAGATTCAATATCGAACAAAAGACGAATATAAATGAACGTTGTTATTTCGCTGTAACTAAATCTCATCGTTTATTAGCACTGTGTATCAGACACGAAGTAATAAGCTTCTGTAAATAGTTGTCGATTATTCCAATAGTTTGTGGTTAGCGATAAATTGGTCAGTACTAAGCTTGGTATCGGCGCACAAAATCCAATAGGATTGGATTAAATCTCAATTGCGCTCACTTTGTTGCGTCCGTCCGGCGGCGGTGAGCTACTTCAATAATTGTTGAACTGCGGCGCTGAAATTCTAAGTGGCACGTTGAACTGTTCAATTATGAATAGGATTATCTCAAATAATGGCCATTTAATGCAGCCGAGTTATAATTGGGTATATTTTAATTTATCTCTGATGGAAAGTGGCGACTGAATCCAAGTCTGAAAGCATTTCAAAATCTGTACTAATATTATAAAGAGGAAATATTTGTATTTTTGTATGTTTTGAAATAACTTAAAAATTACTGGACAGATTTCAATAATTCTATCACCATTAGAAAGGTAATTTATCTGTGAGTAACATAGGCTACATCTGTGATTATTTTTTAATTTCACGCGGACGGAGTCGCGAGCAACAGCTATTCTTATATAAAAACGTAGTTAATAAAATCTCATCTCATATAGTTTACTTCGAAAGGTTCTAAATATTTGTACAATAAACATAAATTACGCTTAAATTAGCGATAAAATTTCCGTTAGAATAAGAGATGTTTTAAGAAAAGAACAAGAAATCGATTTACTAAAACTACGCCGCATTCTCGAAGAAGACAGTTTGAAAATTTAAAGAGCATCTAGAATAAGTTGTTTCAGTCCTCGAGCGATCAGATGGCGTTTTAAGATTTTTTCTCGGAAGACTAACCGTAACTTTTAACTTAAATTTGTCTGTTCCATTTTAAGGAATTTATTTTGGAACATCTGACTTTTTAATACACTTATTGAATTATTTAAAAGCCGTGGCATTTGTTTTATAAGTACTAAATTACACACTGACCTCAACAAAAAGACAGGTTAGGTTATAAGACAAGATATTTTTTTTGACCGACTTCCCAAAAGAAGGAGGTATTCAATTCGACGGTATGTTTTTTTTTTTATTTTTTTTTATGTGTGTTACGGCATAACTCCGCCGCTAGTGGACCGATTTGGATAATTCTTTTTTTATCCGAAAGGTAATGCTTGCAGGTGGGTCCCATTTTTTTGTTTAATTTTTGGAGTCTAAGACTACGACGTAGTTAAATAGTTTAGCTCAAAATCGCGCGACGAAATTTCGGGTCATTTTTGCTTTCTTTTGTGTATTTTTATTCATTTCCGCGGTGGTGGTCGTGGTTGCTAGCGGTGATGAGGATTCGAAGTTGTCACTAACGTCAAATGGCGTGTTTGATTGGGAACGAAACAAAAGCTGTTTTTTCCAAGCAATGACCTATCTATTTATACAGATCTGTTGAATTACATTATTGCTGTGACGTTTTGGGGTCAGATTATCAAATAATAAATAAACAAGTGTCAGTTTGATCAGCGCGCTAATGAAAGTTGAAAGTCAACTAGAAGAGGAATAATTTGAAAGTCAAATTCTTAATTAAGTCCTTTGAAAGAAATAACGACGAATTATAAAAAGAACAAGTAAATAACCAAATATTGTAGACAAGTACAAGAATTTACACTTCATCCATTTAATATTTTTCAGTGTGACATTATTTGTCGCCTTCAAAGATTTCTTTATCGTCTGAGCATGCGGCATAATCCGACCAACACTGAACAGCTTATAGTCGTGGCCTAAATGGCTGGAATTTTAGATGGCTTGAACCGAGGAATTTTTGTTATTATTGAATTCTTCCCCGGTGACCTACGCTCAGTAATTCTATCGATTTTCTTGTTAACAAAGATCGCAAGTTTCACCTGTATCAATTTTACAATACTGTCTTTTCTAAATTATCTAGGTCTAATCTCATCTAATAAGCGCCAATAGTCTAGTAGTTACGGGGATTGCCGATAATGTGGTTGAGGGTTCGAATCTGGCCGTTCGCAAGGACGGAGCCAGGGGCGGGGGGGGGTCATGATGGCTTTGACCCCCTCCTGATCTGGTTGGTCAAGAGCTTGACAAAATATGTAAATATGACTTGACAACGACTATGTGACCCCCCACACCTGGGGCCAAAGCTGGATCCGCCCTTGGCCATTCGCATATTGCTTTTAAGCCTAGAGCTTAGTTGGAATAGTACAATAAATGTTTTTAAATTTACAAAAATCTACTAATAACTATTTTAACAAAATATTATTAAGTTATTATGGCCGTGATTTCGAATCAATGTTACAGTTCGCAGTAAAGTTTCGTATTTCGACTTTCAATTATTTTCATACAATTTAAAAACATTACAGGCGAAATCTTACCTTTGGTTGTTCATGATGAACGTCACCTAGATCTGGTGGGTGCTGTCGTACGAGCATTGGAGCTGACAGTGTAGAAGATGACGAGCTGGATGAAGCGCTTCCGAATGCCTTCTCGCTGTTCTTATCCATGCTGGTGAACGATTTGTCGCTCGACTTGTCGCTGCTAGTTGACAGCTTGTCAACGTTAACGTTCGCTGAAGATGCGCGGTCTTCGGCCGGCTCGTCCTCCACGTCACAAGTAAGAAGACGTATACGTTCTGCCAGCGATGTTGTTTCTTGCTGTAAAAATTGCTTCGTATGAGCACATGCTTTTTTTCAATCATTTTAACTATCATGCCGCAAGAAGTACAGAATTGTTATCTCAGTTTATTTAAGAGAGGGCATATTATGAGGGATGGATAGCATGTAATAATAAGAACGTTAGTTATGAGTGTAAAGGTAATCTGGTAGAGGGAACCCTAGAAAGATATGGATTGTTTGCGTGAAAGGTGACATGATCAAGATGGGAGTGATGACTGAGATAACGTATGATAGAGTTATTTGGAGGACGAAAACCTGGTAAGCTGACCCTACAGGAGTAGACTAAGATAGGGGCGATGAAAATCGGAGAGATTGAAAGGGAAGGAGATATTGTTATATGCAGATACGACGACGATGTTACGACAGTGGTGTCTCATCTTTATAAAGTAACTGCATTTATTAGAGGTGAAAATGAAGATAGAAAGGTAAAACAAGCATTTAATATTTGTGTACTAAAATGCTCACAGTGTAATATTGACTCAAAATAAAGTAAAATTTCGTGAGTGTTACGCCCGTTGGTTAATAGAAAACAAAAAGCAATGTTTAACCAAACCGCGAGCATGTAGCAATTCACAATATATTTTTCACACTAATTAATCTGCCAATGTAAGCTTCATTTATTTTTCCATAGTCTGCTGCGCCAGATTGTACAAACTTAATTAAACAATAAAGAGCGCTTTTCAATTATTTCATTTGCGTGATAATTTTAATCGTCTTCTATTTAATTTAAAGCATAATATTATAACAGCTTATAAAATAAGGTGTTTCATTTTATAAGCTTTTATAATATTTTATAAGATATTTAATATGATAAATATTCTAGTCAGCTAAGAAGTTAAGTCTTTAATTAATAACATTTTTATAAGTTTATTGATGACCCTAAAGACATGCGCTTGCATCTAACTTCAAATTAAAAAAAAAATCCTGTAATATTCTTTTAAGAAATTTGAAAGATTTCATACAAAAAATTGTTCTTTCATTATTTGAAAATAAACTCCATGTTTATATTGGTAACTATTGATCAGATTGCATTAAAATTTTGATGTTCTGTGTTACACTTTACAAGATAAAATGAGGTCATGGTATGAGGAGGGTCGGTTCACATGTTACAAGGAGAATATTAGTTAGGAGTGGGGAGGTACATCGGTAGAGGTAAACCTAGAAAGCGATGGATGGATTGCGTGAAAGGTGACATGATCAAAATGGAGTGATGACTGAGATGACGTATGATGGAGTTATGTGGAGAACAAAAACCTGTTGCACCGACCATACGGGAGTTGCATACAAGAAATCGTAAATGGATTCAAAATTAAAATTTCAATTAAAAAGTATTAAGATTCCGTGGAATGTAGATCGCCGGTAACAGATAAATGTTCCTACAATGGAATAACTCAACAATTAAGAGCACAGTAGGTAGTGGTTCCGATGCGATATTCGCAAGCTCGTAATCTGCGTCGGATTGGATTAACACGTTCCGTGCGTCAACGGTAAACTTAAACTTATACATATGAAGCAAGGATGTCAGAGTATAGTTATCTCTTTCGTTCGTATATGGGAACGTAGAGATGACACGATTAGCTACCGCCCACACGGGAGCTGAAATGCGGGAAAATGCTTCCCGTAACGCACGGAACGTGTTAAATTGTAACGTATAAATGTCAAAGCCGCGCTCGCTGCCGCAGTTGCAATGAAATTGCTAATTACACTGCTAACTAATTTGATATAACTACGCTCAGATGACAAGGAAGATATTGTTAAATAATTATCATACCATTATTTTTATCTGCAAGTTTTATAGTTTTACGATAAATTTATGATAAGATTACCGCTTTTTAATTCCACCTATATTCTATCCTATTTTTTTTAAATAGATAAGAAGACTTATAATTTTGCATTTAATCATTTATTTACTGTACAATTTAATTTTGAAAATTTTGACACCTAACATACATAACATTTTCTATTAAAGCTTTTTACTCTAAAGCACTTTTCCACTAGTGCGATAGCCGCGCTGTCCTCTAATCTTAGATTAATGATTGTATAGACTTCCAATGGCGTATTGGCGACTGCCATTGTACTGGTAATTGCACACGGTGCTGCTTCAACAAATGTTCTTGTGTATCTAATATGATTTTATTTCAAAATTAACACTTAGTTTTGGATGGTCACATACCTTTGCTTGCTGTTTCTTCCTTGCCTCGCTGCGCAGTAATGAGCAGCGAAGAGCATTTCTTTCAGCAACACGTCTAACAGCGACATCTTCTGCTTTCGGTCGCACACCAGCGTCCCAAGCCCTGATTTAGACAAAAAAAAATATCAAACTCGACATTACATTACAACGCAAACTATAAACCATAAACAAACTACAGTTAAACTCGTAAATACCAGTTTTAAAACAATTATTTAATTCCTAGTGTATACTGTAAATAACGTTTTATCCCTGTCACATAAACTAATTACCAAAAAATATTAATCTATGCAGTTTTACGTTGTTTCTATGTGAAAAGTTATAATGAGGGTAATACTTATTGTCCGTTATTATTTTTAAATTGAACAATTAAATATTTATGGTAAAAGAAATAATCGACGTCATTAAAATAAATGAAGAAGCAATTTGAGTAATATAAATACACTCAATAACACGATAACTCAGATCGCCTTTCATTAAACACAGCAAGCGTCCATTGCTCTGAGAAATTCTCTTATTTCTAATTGAAAGGTTTTGATTTTACCTTTAAATTTATATTTGCTAATTAGAAACATTGGAATGGTTGTTGGAATTCCACTTCGGTATTTACGCTTTAAATATTTTCTGAAATTAATGAACGTTTAAAATACTTGCCGCTTAATGAAGTAGATAAAGACAATTAGCAATTGATAACAAAATTCACTACTAAATGTTGTTTAATCCTACAGCGACAGACAAAACTATACGTAGTTAACAGAGTTTCTAGTGCGAATAATTCTAATTTCGTTTAGTTTCGTTTTCGTTTACTGTAGATTGCAAGTAGCTCAAACCACTGAGCGACCAACGCTCCGCAAAAGAGAGAATATTTTCTAATAACCTCAAAGTTTCGGATGTGATGAGCTGCGGTTCTATAGCGGGCGGCGGCGGCCTGTTGCTGTTGAACAATTGTTGAACCGCGGAGTTTGTCTTCGGTGTTTGAATTGTAAGAATCAATGGTGTTTCCAATCTAAAACAAGAAAATATCCATGAGGTCTGATAAAAAACAACTTCGAATAATGCATAATAACATATATGAAAAATGTATAACCTTTTTTAAAAACAATAAGATTTGAAATTTATGATAAGTGTATAGAATTGATAAATCAACAAAAGGCAAAAATAAGAAGATAAAAAGAAAGTTTGAATTAGCAGAAAAGAAAGAAAGTATTTTCTAGAATGTGTCAAGAATTACCTATGTGTGGTATTAGCGGTCGTGTCCTTTTGAATGGGCATCTCATCGTCGGACGCTGGCGCTGACTCCGGCTCTGTCTGTGGAATAGGCTCTTCCTCCTTTGACTCCTGGGGTCTTTCCACGAAACGTACAGATCTAGGTGTGACCGAGCCGTCTTCATCGCTGGCAGTTGTAGTTGATCTCTGATCGTCGTTCTGTTAAAATTAATAACTTATTTATATAGTAATATAAAAAAAAGTTATACAAATCAACATTTATTCGTTTCATATCCATCTTCCTAACATTATAAATGCGTACGTATAGATTGATGAATGGATGCTGAACGGATTTTTATAAAATTTGGCATTGATGTAGAGGATAGTCGGAAGAACACATAGGCTACTTTCTTTTATTTTTTTCAGTTCCATGCGGGCGGAGTCAAAGCTAGTTGGGCATAATATTATGAGTTCAGCGATCGAAACAATCGCAAACTCTTCTCGAGTAAAACTAAGAACGAATTTCTACTTATTCAAAATATTTACTTGTTCATTGAAGTCCTTATCAGCGTCAAGGGATTTCCACAGCCGTCCTCCCTTGAGTATGCCTCCCCTACGGCGTCGCAGCGGTGAGCTTTCGGTTGACAGTTTGCCCTCACTATCAGGTGCGTCACTTTCTTCGCCTGATTAAAGACATAATAAGTTTTATTATCTAAATATCTTTATAATAATCTATTATTCAAAACTGTTAAGGTGGTGAAGCGTTACTTGTAAGAGGCGCGGGAGGATCTGTTTGGGTTTCCTCAACGCATGTCTCCGGAGGGCATTCTGAAACAACAGGAAAATGACATATTAATAAGATCAAGTGGCATTACCTTTATTAATAGGAAATATTGATTTACGAACTGGTTATAATTTTTTTCCTCTTTAATATAAATTCTATTACTGAATAACTGGAACTAAATTGTTAAATGAAAATTAAAATGAAAGTACATTAGTGTAAAAATATACAATTCCTAGAAACCTTCGACTTTTATATTCTTTGCATTCACTGTGTTTTTCTATTTTCTTGGAAAGTACAGAGAAGTATTTCTTACGTTATTTACTCCGTATTATCGAGATTCGTTTCCAGCAAACACTTTATGAAAGTTACTTATTATTGTCTAATAAATTAATTTCCCAGAACACAACACTAAATAAATCCTTGTTCATTTTTTGCAGAGATGATAGTTGATTGTCTATTAAATTCCCAGCATAAATTCTTATAAAACACCAGGAACAAAAGAAATTCTATAACTCGGAACCAATTAAAGAATAAACAGAACGGTTAAGATTTTTTCTTATCTTTAATTTGAACCACGAGTCATGTGCTTAAATGAAAAATAGGACCGGGTAATTATAACTATTATCGCAAAGACAAGCATCAAGATTTCTTAATGGAAATCTATATCTATATCTGTACTATTGTAATAAAGAGGAAAGATTTTTATTTTTGTATGTATTGAAATAACTCAAAAACTACTGGGTCAATATCAAAAATTATTTCACCATTAAAAAGCTACGTAATTAGTGAGTAGTATAGGCTGTGTTTTTCATTAATTTTTAAATTTACGCGCGCGAAGTCGGAAACAATAGAATATAACTAATATAACTATATACACACATCATACACACCCTACTCTATGTATCTAGTTTTCCCAGTCTTCGCAGCAAAAGGCAATTTAGGCTAGATATACAGTTACTCTGGACATTTGATCTCACGAATACTGAGATGTTAGTACCAGGGCGATTGCAATCGAATGCAGAAAACCAGGCCGACGAATTCAAAATAGACTCGTCGTTGCGGTCTATTTAATTTTAAATTCAGAAACCCTCAATTTTGGGTCAAGCGATTGCGGATTTACACTATTAGCGGTAATTAGGGAACAATCGCGTTTTGAATTAAGAAAATAAAATGTTTTTTTTTTTTTATTTAATATGAATCATGATAACTTTATATGGTTTTTCTATACACATAATATAAATGTGGGATTAGCAAGTTTTAATTATTATCTTACTAATATTATAAATGCGAAAGTTTAGATGGATGGATGTTTGTAGCCCAAATGGCTGAACAGATCTCGATGAAATTTGGCATAAATGTAGAGGATAGCCTGGAAGAACACATAGGCTACCGACTTTTGTTTTTTTTACTCCACGCGGACGAAGTCGCGGGAGAAAACTAGTTGTAATAGAATCATAAATATTATAGTTTTAATCCTTATGATAAAGATAAAGTTAAAAAGAATCATCCAGTTACAAAGTTCAAAGTACTATTTGACGCAGGTGTTAATTCAGTTTAAGTCCAGCAGTTAAGTATTACAACGGTCGAAAAATAGACTAACGAAATAGCGAACGGAGGCTTATTGAAGTCGCAGTGCAAAAATTCCATTCATTTCGTAGCTCGTAGCGTTTCCTAAATTCGTAGAACTCTTGACATTTCCAAAATACCCGATGAAACTTTTAAAGCGTGAAAAACCCGGTTAAGCGATTGTATATAGCTTTTTGGAACACGTCAATTTTTTACTAATCCAATTGAAAATGGATTTTAATTAAAAAAAGTTGATACATAAAAGTCGTATTGGTATTGTTGTACAACCCTTTTGTCTTTAGTCAAATTAAATGGAATGGAAAAGTGTATGGATACATAGTGGGTGGTTACATGAGTTTTTTTTTTTAATTTCGTCCACGTAATAATTTGAAAATAATAATACATATTTAACATATATGACTATGTAATTGACAATGTACACTAAACGCGCAGTGAAATTCTGTTAGGAACAATGTTCGCTGCCACGTTAAAGAATTTTGCAATGCATGAGTCTGTAGACTCTTTAAGCAGACGAACGATGAAAGTTGGAACTCGAATCCTTCTGTTTCTTTGTAATGTCATTGACAAAGATCCTATGAATTTTTGTTCTTTGATTCGATAACAATCTACATCAAGTTTTCCACACTTTAAATGTTATATAAAAGCGAATGTTTACATGGATGGATGTTTGGTTAGAGTTTGTTTCCTAAACTGCTGAAAGGATCTCGATTAAATTTGGTAGACGTAGAGGATAGTCTAAAAGAACACATAGGCTATTCCTTTGTGTCGTTTTTAATACTACAAGAACAGAGTCGCGGGCGAAAGCTAGTATCTATTCGGTTAAACTGGGAAAAATAGGTAAAGCATTTAGATATGAATAAAAAGGAATTTAAAATATTTCATAGATAATTTACTGTTCTTAAAACTATCGTAAACCAAATTAGTAAATTATCAATGTCAAAGCGGTATTATACAGTTATTAACACATAAATAAACCAAGAAAATAAACATAATGTTACACTTAAATATGGAGTATTTACAGCAGGATACAATTTCATTTTGTAATAATAACAGTCGAGTATAGATACGCTACGTATAGTACGCTCGTGGGTATTCAGTGAACTTACACACTAATGGCCTGCTTCCGTTCCTTTAATCTTATTACTATCGCCATGGCCGCATACACCATGCAATACACATACCATTTAAATGTATTACCTTAGAAATTTTCTAACATAAATATAACTTTTACTCTGTAAAATAAGCCCTGCGATACATACCTACATAAAATTCTCACTCGCAACTTAGAAGAGCAGTCAGTAATGATAGATGTGGCGTGTTCACTGTGCTCGGACCCTTTTTCCTTTATAACTTGACATTAGGGTTGTAACGGAGGTCATTTTAACGGAAGCGGATGCGGATGCGGAGGTGAAGGGCATCACCTCTGCAGAAGCGGTGGGTAATGGAAGCGGATTAAAATACTAATTGCTATTTATTAAAGAAATAAAAACTAAAACTACTTAAATTCAAAATACAGATTGGTACATAATTACAATATACAGTTTATTACGCAAGTATAATGTACAACAATTATAGTTAGTTGACATATCAAGCCCGCGCGGGCCGCATAAACAATACCTAATCGCCCCACTCACGTTAAAAACGTTAAATTACCTCCGTTATAATACCGCTTAAGAAATAACGGATGCGGAAAGCAGATGCGGAGTTATAATTTCTTGCGGAAGTTCCGCACTTGCGGATGCGGAAGCTGGGTTACAACCCTACTTAAAATATACGTTCTTTGCGATTAAGTTTACTCTTCATATTCCTAGTAGTATTATTTTTAAGAGAAATGGTTATATTTGTTATTCGTTTGGTATTTAAAATTAAGGAGCGTTTATAAACTTGTTGATAGAAAAAAATATCGAAATAATGGTTTGAAGCAAAGTAATAAAAATTGGCTTGTTTGAATATTTTAATACGAAATGAGTGTAAATTTATAAACGGGAACTAAGAGAAAGATAAATAGATCTTTCCCGGTTGAATCTAAAGCGGACTAACGTTCCTGGAAATAGATGTTTGATCGGCACTTGAACCGTTGTGCCGGGTATCGCAAATATATGTATGTAGCACACAGCCGTGTAAGCGAAACATGCACCGATGTGAAGCGTAGGTTTATATGAAATGTATGGATTTGATTCCTGTCTATGCATTAACAGACAGCCTTACTGGGTCAAAACAAACATAATACGGAGAAACTATGTTGCAGTTTCATGCCTCGATGTGCTACAAGCGTTACGCTTCACTTCGCTTGCATCTCTATTTCGTGGCTGTGTACTACAGGCTTTAGAGTTGAAGTGCGCTGAGGCTTTCTATCGTCGATTTACGATAACAATGGGTATATCTTGAAACGTAGCTTAGTCTTGTGTAGAGTGCATAGAAGATGTTAAGTGTGTTTTATCATGGTAACAATGTTAATAGCGTTATTTTTTAAACAATGTAGCTACTCAATAAAAATGACTATACATTTAGTTAATGAAAATAGAATGACTATATTTTATTTTGTGCTCATAATGTATTTGCGTTGCTTATAACAAAAATCCAATCTCTTACATTTGTCTCTCTGATAATAATCTCCGAAATGGTAGCATTGATTTAGACGATGTTTTTAATAGAAAGTATGGGGATGTAACAAAGGGTAAAAAATAAGGAACAGTTGATAGAAATATTTTTTAAACTCTGCTAGAGGAACTGTTGCTGAGATCTTATAAAATCGTAATAATCTTATCTCCTTTCCCAGCGGAAAGAGAGACTTGTAAATTTTTTTCTCTAACAAGATATTCTAACAAATCTAAGTAAAAGATAAGTGGGGCGTGAAATATTTATTTGAATTGCAACTTTCGTTTAATGTCAAATTAAAATTCGTATTCCATTTAAAAAAGGCATTTAACTGCACATTATTCCCTATATTCCGATGCATTAAAAGCTTCCAATAGCCTTTGATGTTTGCATTCGTGTAATATTCGAGAATCGCCACATTTGACCGGAAGCCGTTTCAATTCAGCCTACATTTCGAAGGTAAAATTGGCTCCGAGCCAGAAGGGGTGAAACAGGCAGTTGTTAAACTTAAGATAAGTTTTTTTCTAATTTGTTTTACGTCATATTTTTAATATATATTATTATTATGCATTTTTTGAACGCAACTCAACTCTTTTTTTGCATACAACGAGGTTTTTTTTAATTGAGATACTCCTATAAGATGGTTCATATATTTACTTTTACATCTAACTTCAAATTTGAGTTTTCATCACAAACAATTCCTTTTAAAACAGTAAATTTCAATACAAAACCATATTGTTATTTGTTATAGAGAATAAGCGACATGACAATGCCGTCATCACGTAATGAATATCTCACGATTGTTGTATCAAAAAATACTGCACTATAGTTTTTGTTTCCAGTATCTAAAATACTCAAA